TTAAGCTGGTCCTTTGCTGGTTTATGCTGGTCCTTTTGCTGGTTTATGCTGGTCCTTTTGCTGGTTTATGCTGGTCCTTTTGCTGGTTTATGCTGGTCCTTTGCTGGTTTATGCTGGTCCTTTTGCTGGTTTATGCTGGTCCTTTTGCTGGTTTAAGCTGGTCCTTTGCTGGTTTATGCTGGTCCTTTGCTGGTTTAAGCTGGTCCTTTGCTGGTTTATGCTGGTCATGTGCTGGCAAAGGACTAGCATAAACCAGCAAAAGGACCAGCATAAACCAGCAAAGGACCATCTTAAACCAGCAAAGGACCAGCTTAAACCAGCATCCAAGCATCAAAACATACCTAACCAGCATATGCTGGTTTCAACATGGTTTACATCTGAGATATCTGAGAGAATAAATGTTTATGTTATATTAGGATACATTATGGCATGCCATCACTTTCATAATTAGGATGAAAGTGATGTAATAATTACCTTGAAAACTTAAACTGGATTAACTCATAAGTGTCTATGAGTTAATCTCATAGACACTTATGAGGGCAGTTATTAGGCTATGAGGGCAATACCTGTTACAATACACTTATTAGGCTATGAGGGCAATACCTGTTTCTATAGCTCTACACTACGACAGCTGCATGTAGTGCTAACGCTAGCAGTTTTCTGTGCGTCTTTACCATATGAGCCTCTCAAAATGTACAGCTCTGTGTGGATAAACCTGGAAAGATGTGTGGAAAATGTGTCTAGAAAAGTTCATATGTCATGTTTTCCATCACACCACTGTGTGAGATATTAGCGTATAGCAATGTAGCGATTTATGGATAAAAAAAGATACCGCATGGCTAAATGCCTGTGACAACAGGTGGACACAACAGCTTGACAGATCGTCTGTTCTTTTATTATCCACTATATTATACATTCTAAGTATTTCAGTCTTGAGGAGTCTATGTTAATCAGTGTTCTGTTGTTTTCTTGTGTTCAACAGACACTTAGGCTTAGATCTGGTGCCCAGGAAGGAGTTTGAAATGGTTGATGCGGACCAGATCAGCGTTTCTGATCTCTACAAAATGGTAAGTACAGTGACTGCATCTCGATGGGTTTTCGATGGATGCTTTTTCATCCCTGAAGCAGTAAATCACTATAACGTCCGCTGTTGGATGTGAGGAAAACATATAAGAGATGTTTTTGCAAGGATTATGAGTTACAATTCATGCAAATTGCTTCCTTTATTCAAATATTTTATTTATGAGATGCTTGTGCATATGACTCTAGGTCATGTTTGCTGAATTATTTGCTCATATAGCATTATGATTTTACAGTTCTGGTTTAAATTATTATATATGTAAGTATGCATGTAAAAAGAAAATAAAAGTAAAGTATGAAATCATAAATCAAATATACTAAAATATCGCATACAAATGGTACAAACATTTTATATTTCTTAAATATTTTATATAATGCAGTTTAAGTTTTCATTTATATGTGAACCATTCAAAGTAAAAGAAGGCTTTGACTTCAATTCTTAAAGGTCTGTTCAATATACACTGAAGAATAATTAAAATTAAGGTAATTATTTTTTATAAATATTGCTAAAATTAATTAATAAAAGTAATGATTACATCATACAAAACAATTAAATAATACCATTTTATAATATTAAATGATATTGTAGTGAGTTTTTTTGTGTAGTATATATATATATATATATGTGTGTGAAGTATGCATGTAAAAAGAAAATAAAAGTAAAGTATGAAATCATAAATCAAATATACTAAAATATCGCATACAAATGGTACAAACATTTTATATTTCTTAAATATTTTATATAATGCAGTTTAAGTTTTCATTTATATGTGAACCATTCAAAGTAAAAGAAGGCTTTGACTTCAATTCTTAAAGGTCTGTTCAATATACACTGAAGAATAATTAAAATTAAGGTAATTATTTTTTATAAATATTGCTAAAATTAATTAATAAAAGTAATGATTACATCATACAAAACAATTAAATAATACCATTTTATAATATTAAATGATATTGTAGTGAGTTTTTTTGTGTATTATATATATATATATATATGTGTGTGTGTGTGTGTGTGTGTGTGTGTGTGTGTATAAAATTATATAAAGCAAGCATAATTAGTAAATATTGTATGAATAAAATATAAAACATGCATAATAAGTCAATTATATATATACTATTATACTATATTATACCATTATACTATATAATATACTATATTATTAATTATGCTTGTTTTATATTATTTTATGCAACTATATATGTTTTTTTTGCAGTTTAATGCCATTTATATTACTTTAATAGTTTGTGTATTACAGTTTAAGTTTTCATTTATATGGAAACTATTAAGAATAAAAAGAAGACTGACTTCAATTCCTAAAAGATTTCTTAAATATCACTGAAAAATAATAATTAAAGTTCAGGTCATTATTTATTTATGATCATAAAACTGTTTGATAATTAGTAAATATTGTATGAATAAAATATAAAACATGCATAATAAGTAAATTATATATATACTATTATACTATATTATACCATTATACTATATAATATACTATATTATTAATTATGCTTGTTTTATATTATTTTATGCAACTATATATGGTTTTTTTGCAGTTTAATGCCATTTATATTACTTTAATAGTTTGTGTATTACAGTTTAAGTTTTCATTTATATGGAAACTATTAAGAATAAAAAGAAGACTGACTTCAATTCCTAAAAGATTTCTTAAATGTCACTGAAAAATAATAATTAAAGTTCAGGTCATTATTTATTTATGATCATAAAACTGTTTGTGATTATTTTTGTTCAGTGTACAGTTGTAATAATGACCTGTATTTTGGTGTGTACTTAATCTTCTAGTGTTTTTCTTGCTTTGAATTACAGCAAGTTCTACAAAAATGAGTTTATTAATATGTGAGTCATCCGTGTAAACGAGAGCAGGAATTAATGTTTTAATGTATTCCTGCAACTGTTTTGCATATGTGCATAATGTAGGCATAATGCGCAGATGTTGCCGAGTTCCCGCATGTAGAATGAGCTGAACAATTAGACAGCAGAAATGTTTTAAACACTCCATTAGAGAGCATATTCCCAAGACGCCTCATCAGAATGAAACATTTACATATTCTATTTTTCAGAAAGCCTCATAGCGTATTTTCAGCTTTATGGAGCAGTTACCCTTTGGAGTTTAATAAGAAACAATATCGGAAATTATAAAAAATAAGCTTTTTTTTAGCTTTTGATTATTTTTTACCCTCAGTAATTCACTTTATTCTCTAGACCGCTATTTGACGATGATAACGGTTTACTGGAAACCGGTTTCGACACCAGCATGTTACGAACATGTGCTTTTGAATGGCAGCTTGTGGAAAAGCTGCTAATACTGTACATTTATTTATTTCACACATTTGACGGATCTTTTTCCATGATGTCTGCACAGGTTTGTGCCATATGTATCTATGTTTGGGTTTGTGTGGGACTGGATTTTTGTACAATATGGCAGCAAAGGGGCTAAATTTACCTCAACACTGTACCTGTATTCTGCAGTTTAGGATATACAGTATATAGCTTTTCCACAGGCTGCAATCTGAAAGCACCTGTTAGAAACAGTTTTCAATAAAACGTTATCGTATATATAATATAAAATCCACACATACGCAAGCTTAAAATTGTTAATGCTTGAAAAAAGATATTAATTTAATGTGATTCAATATTAGAGTTTAAATAGTATTGTGTTTTTTTTTTTCAGTTTGGCTGTAAAATGAAACAATAATTTATCAGCACTTCATGTCCAATAAAGCTTATCGTTGTAAAAATTATATTTAATATATCGCAATTTTTTTTTGGTATTTTCTCTAAAATTATGTAATTTTTGTTTTAAATAAAGCGTATTATTGTGAAATACATTGTGATTATTTATTTTTTTTTGAGAAACCAATCAGCTATTTTTAATATTAAATGAGTATGGTATGTATACCTTATTAATAATATTTATATTGTCAAATGCCACACACTGACTTCCATTTTAAGTAAATTAGGTTGAATCAGTTCTTTGAAATGAATCAATGTTAAAGATAATCATATTTCTCAAATCTACTTTTTGCTGATAGGGTTTAGGGTCTTTTGTAAAATATAATTTTCGTCTTCATGAAACTTAAAAAAGAACCTGTTAATCTCATATTCATGGTGTTTTGTAATTCTATATTTGCAACAACAACAACAACATAATAATAATAATTATTATTATTATTATTATTATTGTTGTTGTTATCATTATTATTACTGATGTTGTTGTTGTTGTATATTTATCTTTTGTTATATTCATAATATAAAATGTTTATAATATGTACAGTTTATTAATATTATTAAAATGTATAAATATTTATCATTTTTAAAGCATGCAAATGCCAAACAGTGACTTCCATTTTGCAGCAAATTAAGTTGAATCAGTGTTTTAAATCACAAAGTTAAAATGAATTACATTTCTCAAATCCACCTGCATTTTTACCACTAGGTTTAAATCAGAGATGTTGTTATGTGTTATATAAAATATTATTTTAGTCTTTATGAAACTTAAGACACATTAAAATAATTGTGATATTCCTGATATTGTTTAGTTTCATATTGGCAACGTTTTTCCTTCAACCATTGAAGTTATAAAGTTAGAGAGAAACGGAAAGAGTTTTGAGGAACGAGTCAAAAGAAAAGAGCACTATTCAAAGAATTTGACTAAGAGGTTTCACTAACTTTTGGGGCTAAATTCAGAGGAAAAGCAAACACTCTCGGGTAGAGTAGCTGAATCTCGATTCGATTTTAAGTGCACTAGCCAAATGTTGAGGTCACAGAGAGATTTGTATAGCTCGATATGTGGGAGGTGGAGGAGTTTCACACAAATACCAAAAATAAAGAAAGAGAAGAAAGAAACACGCTTCTGAAGAGAACAGAGAGACAGAGATGTGAGAAGACTTTTACTTGGCCTCGGGCAGCAGAGAGCACCGAAGCTGCAGAGACTCGAGACCTTTCGTTTTCTTAGAAGTTGCTGCTGAATTGTCTTCAGGGAAGCAAAAGATAGATTAAATCAAAGAGCCGAGCTTTTCTGGTTCTGGATTACATGTGCACTGTTCACACACAATTTACTCCAGCTATCTGTTTTCTCTTCACTTTCTATATTCATTCCATCATTTTTTTTGGCTTTTGCAGTAACACTGTCGAGAAAATAAATCTTGAAGTTTACATTTTTCTTTTTTTTTTCTTTTGCAAAACAATGACATGACTGTCTTTTCAAAAGCTCAATTTTACAGTTTTACAGACATAAGATATTCTTTTTCATAGGGAACATCAAGTTCCTTTGATAGAGTGCCACTCAATTCAATTTAATGTAATTAATTTAGTTGAAAATGCATTCTTTATTAAATTATAAATGTATTAATACAGAAATATAAATGTAGTTAAATAAATAACTTGACAAATAAATAGACATTTCTGATTTATTTAATGTTTAAAATTTAAAACTTTATAATATAATATAATGTGCATTGTAAGTTTGTTACTTTTAACAACATGTTCATTATCTTTATATTAATACATTGGTAATTGATTTCTTCAATTAATTTTTAATTATCGTCCTCATCCTCATCCTCTGCAGCCATAAAATAACCTGTGACAGTCTAGTTTAAAGATAGATAATAAATATTAGATAGATATATATTAGATAGATATATTTTTAGTGCAAAATTAATAACCCTATTTATTTGTTTGATTGATTTGTTTTGAAAGTTAAAAAAAAAATTAAAAAAAATAAATAAAATAGTCAACTGACATAAAAAATATTTTCATTACAAAAAATAACCCTATTTATTTATTTATTTTCCTCTGTATCCAGTCAATGAAATTGGAAAGGGTGACCTCTGATGGCTAGCAGATGGAAGTTCATGGACCGGATTCGTGACAGGATCTATTTTAAAATAAAATAAAATATAATTTTTCAATTCAATATTTGTATTACAAAATGAATAACCTTATTTATTTATTTGTTTGTTTGTTTATTGCGATACACAAGTTTCAGGTTTAATTTTGACTCATTGAGATTTTTGCATTGTGCATTGTGCCCTTGAGCAAGACACATGCACTAAGCATATGTTAGTCCTTTACCTGCAGTAATGTACAGTAACCTTGTATAAACAGTGTCTGCTAAATGGGTAACATAGATTTATTTCACAAAATAAAAATATACATATATAAGTTAGTCAGGGACTGAAGTCTCACAGAAGCATGCTGTAACATGGCTGTACAATCTGCCATGCTCACAGTGCCGCAAGGCACTATTTTAGATTAATGAGTCCCGCCATGCACGCGTTTAGCCTCCCTGATGGTGAAAGTGAGAACAGAAGGAAAAATATTTGTTTTCAGACATTTCTCAGTTCGGCCTGAAATCCTCCACTGGGTTTGCAAATGAAACTCTACTTCACTCCCTCATTGTCAAGCACTATATCAAGGAAATCTCACTTTTTATCTCATGATATGCTTGCAGCTTTGATGATTCCTTTCCCCAGTCCTTCTTATTAAGGTATTTTTTAGGGATTTGCTAAGGAAAGCATCACTATGAGCAAACATCTCTAGAAACCACGACTAACACCTTGCAATGCCATAGCAACCGTCCAGAACACCTAAGCAACAACCAGCAATGCCCTAGCAACCACACTCAGATCACATGACTAACACCTTGCAATGCCCTAGCAACCATCCAGAGTACCCTAGCAATCACAACATAGAAATGTGACCACAATTGCCCAAAACAGCCTAGCAATCAACAAGCAACAACATAGCAACAATGAGCAACCAACCAGAATACCCTAGATACAAACTAGTGACACCTTATCAACCGCCTAGCCATGTCCTAACAACCATTCAGAATATCGTAGCAATCACAACATATAAATTTGACCACAATTGCCCAAAACAGCTTAGCAATAACCTAGCAACCCTTTAGCTACAGCAAAGCAACAACAAGCAACCATCCAGAACACCATAGATACAACCTAATGACACCTTATCAACCACCTAGCCATATCCTAGCAACCACCTGAACAAAAAAAACACCCACCCACAGCATCCAGAAAACCTTAGCAACCACTAGCAATGGCCTAAGTAACCACACCTGACAACCACCTATCAATCATTCAGACTACTCCAGCAATTACAGCATATAAATGTCACCACAGTCACCCAAAACAGCCTAGCAACAACAAACAACAAACCAGAACTCCCTAGTGACACCTTATTAACCACTGTCAACCAACCCAGACACCTTAGCAACCACCCACAACACCTTAGCAACAACCAGTATTGCCTTAGCAACTATCCAGAGCACTTAATTAATCCCCAGTAATGCCACAGCACTGCAATCATGACATAGAAATGTCACAGCAACCACACAAAACAGCCAAGCAGTCAGCTAGCAACATTTAAGCCGCACCATAGCAATATCAAGCAATCAGCAAACCAATCAGAATACTATAGCTATTACCTAACAACACACTATCAACCAAACCACCCAGGATGAACTAGCAGACACCTAGTAATGCTTTAAAAATTGTTTAACAAATAGATAACAATCCCTCAGAATAGCATAGCAACATTACGACAAACACTCAGAACAATCTAGTAACACCTTATCAACCACCTAGTAATATCCTAGTAACCTGGGCAACTGAACAGCAAAGCACCACTAAAAACACTCAGAACACCTTAGCAACCACATAGCATCATCATGCCAATCCCCAGAACCATAGCACACCCTAGCAACCACACAGAACATCCTATCAACTGGACAGCAAAGTGCTAAGAACTTCTGAAAACACCTTAGCAACCACATAACATCATCACTCCACCAGAAGCGCCCAAGCAATGCATAATCAACCACTCAGAACACCATAGCAACTGGACAGCAATGTGCTAAGAACCGCTGAAAATACCTTAGCAAACACATAACCTCACTCCACCAGAAACACCCGAGCAATGTATTAGCAACCACCCAGAACTCCATAGCAACTGGACAGCAAAGTGCTAACCACCACCCATAATACCTTAGCAACTGCATTGCAACGCCACTCCACCAAGAACATCCAAACAAAACCTTAACAACCATCTAGAACACCATGGCAACTGAGCACCTGTAGAGCTAAGTGCTAACAACCATCACTCCACCCACAACATGCAAGCAATGCCCTAGAAACCTCCCAGAACACCCGAGTGATTGGACAGCAAGTGCTAACATGTTAACTTGTCTAACTTGCTAACTTGTCCAGTACTCCAGAACACTAACAACCACGAAGAACACCTTAACAAACGCAACAACGTCACTCCACCATGAACACCCAAGCAATGCCTCAGCAACCACCTAGAACACCTTAGCAACTGAGCAACGTGCTACTCCAGTAGTCCAGAACACTTTAGCAACCACATAGTAACATCACTCCATGCACAACACAAAAGCAATGCCCTAGTAACCACCCAGAACACCCTGCCAAATGGAAAGAAAGTGCTAAGAACAGCTGAAAACACTGTAGCAACCACATAACAACATCACTCCACCAAGAACACCCAAGCAATGCATTAGCTTAGCAATTAAGCAACTGGACAGTAAAATGCTAACAACCACTAAGAACACCTTGGACTACTGCATTGTAACATCACTTCACCTAGAACACCCTATAGCAACTGGAAATCAAAGTACTTAACAACTGCCAAGAGCACCTTAGCAACCACATAGTGACATCACGTCACACAGAACACCCTAGCAACCAACCAGAACTCCGTAGCAACTGGAAAGCAAAATACTAACAAACACTGAGAACACATTAGCAACCACATAGTGACATTCACCTCACCCAGAAAACCCTAGTAATGCCCTAGCGACGAACCAGAACACACTAGCAATGCCCTAGCAACCAATCAGAACACCCTAGAAACTGGAAAGCAAAGTACTAACAACCACCAAAAACACCTTAGCAACCACCTAGTGATGTCTCTCCACCCAGAACACCCTAGCAATGCCCTAGCAACCAACCAGAACTCCCTAGCAACTAGAATGCAAAGTACTAACAACCGCAGAGAACACCTTAACTACCACATAGTGACATCACATCCCCTAGAATACCATAACACTGTGTTTTGAACTGGAAGGCACAATCTAATTTGTATTTTTGCGTTCACGAGTTTTGCATACCTCTTTTCCCACCATGCATTTGCCGATGGGGGTTTGTGTTGAATGCTGGGTAATTTATTCTAAATGCAGTCAAAAGAAAAGAGAAAGATGCAAGCTAAGAAACACAGACTCATAAGTCACCCTGGCTCCCAGGCAAGATGTGTGTATGTGTGTGTGTTTCACCATGCGATTCTGAACATGTGTTTTCTGCTTGGGGTTTGTGCTGATGATGCCTCTGTGAATATGATTAATCTAGATGTAGATATCTCATGAGATATTGCTCTGTACATCCATACAGCGTTGTGGGAAAATATTTAAACCCTATATGCAAGTGTCTTATTTACTCAATTACAGATCAAACAGGAAATTATATTCCCTTTGATACTAGAATTATTAATTACTTTAGTGTGACATTGTTTTAGGTTTGAAGATACAGTGTGCAGTATGCACATTATACTGTATGTTTCCATTTGAAACAATGTTTTTTTTTTTAAGGATGTCAGTTACTTCAGGTACAGCTAAGAAGATATGTTTAACTGCTGTCAGCATGCTTTGTACAGTATATACACATTGACTGGATTTTAGTCTGAAATGTGACCACAGTGTTTCTCTTTCTCTCTCTGTTTCTCTCTGTTGACAGCACCTATCCAGCAGACACAGCGTCCAACAAAGCACATCCCAGGTATATTTGTCATCCTCAGCACCATCTGAGGACTTGTCAGAAATGCTTCGAGTCGTTAACGTACATAACTTTTTTGTAGGTCATGGTTCGCCGTGGGCTAAAGTGTGACATTTTGATCTAAGCACCTTGTTTACTCTGTTTTGGTCATGCTAAAAGACCGTTTACAGTTATGTATGATGCACTTTTTGAATATAGGTCAGTAAAACAGGCCAAAATATTACAACACACTGCTATAAGCTCTAATGAATATGCATGTTTGTATTGTTCCATTTTAGAGAATTAATATTGTTTTTAAAAACATTATATTATATTATATTATATTGTATTTTTGAATACACATTTAAGATGCAAGAAGTGTAAATAGCAGAGTAACCACAGGTATCATTTTATCACATCTACCTGCATCACATAACATTTTCCGCTTTTTAATAACCAGAAACCACATTATTTTTGAGACCACTGTATAACAGCATAACATGTTACAATATACCACATCTATAACAACATAACATAACATAACATAACATAACATGTAATGACATGTCACAACATATCACATGTAATGAAATGACATCAAGTTGTGTTATAGATTTACATTATATTATTAAATGTTATTCAATGTGTTGTTATATCATGTTGTGGTATATTGTTACTTGTTATGGAATGTCATGCTGTAGCATATTACATGTCATGCGATGTATTACATGTTACATGCTATGTTACAGTGTTACATGTTATAGGTTCAGTTTTACTAACAACTTGTCTTTACGTGTTAAAATGGTACTGTCAGGTTTTACTAAAGACGCGCAGTGAAGAATTAGTGCTGAAAAAGCGTGGACAGCTATTTTAGCACCGGACCTTATTGAATATGCATTTGTAGGAGTTTCCCTTTAATTCAAATGAATCATTGTCAAATTACTGCCATTATTTAACTCCCCAAAAAAGCACATTTTGCGCTTGAAATGGCTGCAATTTGTTGCTAGGAGGAATATACCTTGTAACATAACACAACAACATAAAATAACGTCACAATATTCCATAAAATGACTTTGCACATACTGTATTATCTGACATAACATCTAACATAACATTACAAAATAACACTACAACATATACTGTAACAAGCATCTCATGACATAAAGTAAAGCTGTTGTTAACTCTCTGTTTTCAGGATGGCGGAAGACAAAGACACGGGGATTCGTGTCGAATGCCTGTGCCACACCATCTCTTTGTCAACCTAAAGAGTTTCACATACAACACCATCGGCGAGGACACAGACATCTTCTTCTCTTTGTATGACCTGAGAGAGGGCAAGCAAATCAGGTAGGAAATGTGTCATGTATAAGTTTGTATACACATTCAGCGGTTGTGCCCCTTCACCACTAAAACATTTAACAATGAAGAGGCTTTCATTGGTAATTATTCACAAGGAACAGAAAATACATGAAGTCTCATAAGCAATAAAGTAAGACTTCATTTTTAAAACATCACGGTCTTGGAAATGAAAGCTTGCGCAAATACCGCCTACATGTACATAGGCCACATTTTGTTTAACAATAATCCAAAATGGCAGACAGAACTGTGAAACCACAGAAAGACGAGATAAGGACAAGAGACCGTGATGAAGTATTCATGTAAAAGATCTATTCGCTTCAACTATGCTGTTAAGACATCTTAAGTTTCAAGTTTGAGGTAGAGGACACCCTAAACCAACTCTGTCTCTACAAACTAAACCTTGTTAGCAGAATATTGCACTGTTTTTTGACATCTTTGAAAAATGTCAAAAACCTACCTCCCTAGCAACTAGAATGCAAAGTACTAACAACCGCAGAGAACACCTTAGCTACCACATAGTGACATCACATCCCCTAGAATACCATAACACTGTGTTTTGAACTGGAAGGCACAATCTAATTTGTATTTTTGCGTTCACGAGTTTTGCATACCTCTTTTCCCACCATGCATTTGCCGATGGGGGTTTGTGTTGAATGCTGGGTAATTTATTCTAAATGCAGTCAAAAGAAAAGAGAAAGATGCAAGCTAAGAAACACAGACTCATAAGTCACCCTGGCTCCCAGGCAAGATGTGTGTATGTGTGTGTGTTTCACCATGCGATTCTGAACATGTGTTTTCTGCTTGGGGTTTGTGCTGATGATGCCTCTGTGAATATGATTAATCTAGATGTAGATATCTCATGAGATATTGCTCTGTACATCCATACAGCGTTGTGGGAAAATATTTAAACCTTATATGCAAGTGTCTTATTTACTCAATTACAGATCAAACAGGAAATTATATTCCCTTTGATACTAGAATTATTAATTACTTTAGTGTGACATTGTTTTAGGTTTGAAGATACAGTGTGCAGTATGCACATTATACTGTATGTTTCCATTTGAAACAATGTTTTTTTTTTTAAGGATGTCAGTTACTTCAGGTACAGCTAAGAAGATATGTTTAACTGCTGTCAGCATGCTTTGTACAGTATATACACATTGACTGGATTTTAGTCTGAAATGTGACCACAGTGTTTCTCTTTCTCTCTCTGTTTCTCTCTGTTGACAGCACCTATCCAGCAGACACAGCGTCCAACAAAGCACATCCCAGGTATATTTGTCATCCTCAGCACCATCTGAGGACTTGTCAGAAATGCTTCGAGTCGTTAACGTACATAACTTTTTTGTAGGTCATGGTTCGCCGTGGGCTAAAGTGTGACATTTTGATCTAAGCACCTTGTTTACTCTGTTTTGGTCATGCTAAAAGACCGTTTACAGTTATGTATGATGCACTTTTTGAATATAGGTCAGTAAAACAGGCCAAAATATTACAACACACTGCTATAAGCTCTAATGAATATGCATGTTTGTATTGTTCCATTTTAGAGAATTAATATTGTTTTTAAAAACATTATATTATATTATATTATATTGTATTTTTGAATACACATTTAAGATGCAAGAAGTGTAAATAGCAGAGTAACCACAGGTATCATTTTATCACATCTACCTGCATCACATAACATTTTCCGCTTTTTAATAACCAGAAACCACATTATTTTTGAGACCACTGTATAACAGCATAACATGTTACAATATACCACACCTATAACAACATAACATAACATAACATAACATGTAATGACATGTCACAACATATCACATGTAATGAAATGACATCAAGTTGTGTTATAGATTTACATTATATTATTAAATGTTATTCAATGTGTTGTTATATCATGTTGTGGTATATTGTTACTTGTTATGGAATGTCATGCTGTAGCATATTACATGTCATGCGATGTATTACATGTTACATGCTATGTTACAGTGTTACATGTTATAGGTTCAGTTTTACTAACAACTTGTCTTTACGTGTTAAAATGGTACTGTCAGGTTTTACTAAAGACGCGCAGTGAAGAATTAGTGCTGAAAAAGCGTGGACAGCTATTTTAGCACCGGACCTTATTGAATATGCATTTGTAGGAGTTTCCCTTTAATTCAAATGAATCATTGTCAAATTACTGCCATTATTTAACTCCCCAAAAAAGCACATTTTGCGCTTGAAATGGCTGCAATTTGTTGCTAGGAGGAATATACCTTGTAACATAACACAACAACATAAAATAACGTCACAATATTCCATAAAATGACTTTGCACATACTGTATTATCTGACATAACATCTAACATAACATTACAAAATAACACTACAACATATACTGTAACAAGCATCTCATGACATAAAGTAAAGCTGTTGTTAACTCTCTGTTTTCAGGATGGCGGAAGACAAAGACACGGGGATTCGTGTCGAATGCCTGTGCCACACCATCTCTTTGTCAACCTAAAGAGTTTCACATACAACACCATCGGCGAGGACACAGACATCTTCTTCTCTTTGTATGACCTGAGAGAGGGCAAGCAAATCAGGTAGGAAATGTGTCATGTATAAGTTTGTATACACATTCAGCGGTTGTGCCCCTTCACCACTAAAACATTTAACAATGAAGAGGCTTTCATTGGTAATTATTCACAAGGAACAGAAAATACATGAAGTCTCATAAGCAATAAAGTAAGACTTCATTTTTAAAACATCACGGTCTTGGAAATGAAAGCTTGCGCAAATACCGCCTACATGTACATAGGCCACATTTTGTTTAACAATAATCCAAAATGGCAGACAGAACTGTGAAACCACAGAAAGACGAGATAAGGACAAGAGACCGTGATGAAGTATTCATGTAAAAGATCTATTCGCTTCAACTATGCTGTTAAGACATCTTAAGTTTCAAGTTTGAGGTAGAGGACACCCTAAACCAACTCTGTCTCTACAAACTAAACCTTGTTAGCAGAATATTGCACTGTTTTTTGACATCTTTGAAAAATGTCAAAAACCTACCTAGACATATTATTATCTGCAGTTTCCAGCAGAAACGTACACTAGTGGCAGTAAAACATCAACAACTTGTATTCCTCTTTGTACAATTTATGATATAGGGGCAGATTATCAATTAATAAAAACCTATTTTTGTGCAGTTCATTGCTATACCATGTTATGAGTTTGAAACACGTTTACTATACTTTTACCAGCTCCATAATATGGTTTTTCTGATGTAGCAAACTTGCTCGGTAGCACACTTGGTACAGAATTTACACTTCCATATGTATAGCTTTTCTGATGTAGTAAACTTGCTCAGTAGCGCACCTGGTACAACATTTACACTTCTATATGTATAGCTTATCTGATGTAGTAAACTTGCTCAGTAGCGCACCTGGTACAACATTTACACTTCCATATGTATAGCTTTTCTGATGTAGTAAACTTGCTCAGTAGCGCACCTGGTACAACATTACACTTCCATATGTATAGCTTATCTGATGTAGTAAACTTGCTCGGTAGCGCACCTGGTACAACATTACACTTCCATATGTATAGCTTATCTGATGTAATAAACTTGCTCGGTAGCGCACCTGGTACAACATTAACACTTCTATATGTATGGCTTTTCTGATGTAGTAAACTTGCTCAGTAGCGCACCTGGTACAACATTACACTTCCATATGTATAGCTTATCTGATGTAAGAAACTTGCTCGGTAGCACACCTGGTACAACATTACACTTCCATATGTATAGCTTATCTGATGTAAGAAACTTGCTCGGTAGCACACCTGGTACAACATTACACTTCCATATGTATAGCTTATCTGATGTAAGAAACTTGCTCGGTAGCACACCTGGTACAACATTACACTTCCATATGTATAGCTTATCTGATGTAAGAAACTTGCTCGGTAGCACACCTGGTACAACATTACACTTCCATATGTATAGCTTATCTGATGTAAGAAACTTGCTCGGTAGCACACCTGGTACAACATTACACTTCCATATGTATAGCTTATCTGATGTAAGAAACTTGCTCGGTAGCACACCTGGTACAACATTACACTTCCATATGTATGGCTTTTCTGCTGTAGTAAACTTGCTCAGTAGCGCACCTGGTACAACATTTACACTTCTATATGTATAGCTTATCTGATGTAGTAAACTTGCTCAGTAGCGCACCTGGTACAACATTTACACTTCCATATGTATGGCTTCTCTGATGTAGTAAACTTGCTCGGTAGCGCACCTGGTACAGCATTTAACCTTCTATATGTATGTCTTTTATGATGTA